ATATATTAAAATTCAATCCTTTGAGAAGAACAGTGTGTTGTGGAACCCAAATGTATACAATAATGAGAGATGTTCTGCAACTAGAAGTTTGACTTCCATCTACTCATCAGAGAACAAAGATGTCTCTACTGATACCATGTCTTTACTGCTACCATACATGACAGAACGGGTACCAGCCAAAAGCCCAGACACGTGTTTCGTCGATATTCTACCTCTGCGCGACACATCTGCGAAGAGTTCGGTTCGTCAGTGTGTCCCCTTTGGCGTTCCCTGTGGGCTTTCTGGTCGATACTCTAGTTTTTGAAATTGCGGCTTTTTAATTTCCTCAGAAAGTAATCGTTTGCATGGAGTAAATAAATTTATTTGAGACTTATAGGCTCAGACGACTGCTCGCAAAATCACTGCAATGTCCTTAGTGGGAACCTTGCCGAGGCGAGAGTAGCCCGCATGGAGGCCGTAAGATCTAGGGTATACACACCCTGACAAAACCGATCAAGGGATTTCGGCAGTGGACGCAGAGTCAAATCAAGGTGTAAGTCTTCTTATTGAACACGTTGATTAGGACAGCATGATAATTACTTACTGTGGGCTTGAGACCCTGGAGTAAGTGGCGGCTGCCTCAGGCAAGAATACGGCCGGCGTGGACAAAGGCATAATACCAATAAGGCATATCCGGACAACCTCATGCACAGATTTTACCCTTGCTCCTGCCATACGTTTGACGTAACCAAATAAAGACTAAAGGTACGTAGGATATCTTACGGGACAATGAAATCAGTGATCCTAGAATCATGTAATTGACGGGTAACTTAGAGGTAAATAGACGTCATAAAAGATTGCTGGGTAAAATTATTTCCAATCATGAATGTCAGTTGTACTCTAACTTGTATCATAAGGTGTCGTGAGGCAACTTGATCAATACAGGAAACATTTATTAAATGCTGATATAAAAATTGAATCTCAAGTCGTCAGAGCGGCCTTAATCGGACTTCTGAAAGGACCTTTCTCCTGTCCTTCGAGGTCGTAAAGTAGGCGAATAAGCTGGTCAATTATGTGGTATTTGGGCACCGGTATAGGGCGAAAGTATCAAGGGGCAATGAGCAGACGGAGGGTGCCATGTCTGGAATGGAATAAAAGGATTTACCATAGGGAAGCAATGATAGTGATATTGAGTTGTTGGAAATGAAAAAACGACGATGAGTAAGCGCGGTCCATTTCAGGGGTGCACAGTTTTATCAGCCAGATTCTATTATGTCATGCATTTCCCATGCTATAAATTCCTACGGTTTTGATGAAAGGCCAACAGTTAAGCATTAAAAAGATCGATTTTATTCAGCGCTCGTTGGTGGACATACATACTGCGGAAAATGTCTGCATATTCGTTCTTCATTGAAGTCAATTGTTTTAACAGATTCTGATCAGGTTTGCATGGAATTTCACAGGTCTCAAGTCAGGCCTAAAACAAAAACATTTCTAAAAATACTGACACACAGTAAAGCCCCCGATTGGCAGTGTCTGCCGTGTACAGCCAGTCATCTAAGTCACAGAGAAAAATTCAGAATCCATGGCCACGACATAGTTGTCCATGCGGCTTGGTGGAATAGCTCTGAAGTCTGGTGTCTTGGCACCCTTACCCCTACCAACATATAAAGCTGTAAACTTTAAACGGAAAAAGGTAAGAAAATGGAAAAGAGGCGTCTGATATTTTCATATACCCGACGAAAACAGAGTCCAAACTAAGATGGAGTTGTCAAACTCGGAGTAAAGACGGAAAATGAGATCTCCTTATGCGACGTAATTTTAAAGATTTTCTGACACAATTTTTGCTCAAGTTTTTGAAAATTACTATATCAGTGCCGAGACGTCTTCTATATGCTCTAAGGAGTCTGAGTAGGTTCTTAAGTTTGAAACATTAATTGTTGCAGAACTTTCTCACAAATAGTCACAAATATTTGCCGTGATAAACCTGCCCGAGAATCCTTCCCCATCGGCAATATTTTACGCGGTCTGTGAAGGCAACAATTGTTCTTTGATGAAATTAAACAGCTAGATTCGAGCTGGCGCATGAGATAGTCGGAAATAGTTGTGGATATCTTGGGACGGCCACAGTAGATCAAATTCTTAAAAGCGCAGTGAGGTAGAAACAATACAATTTCGTCTGTTGGACGCCAAAATCACATAGTTCCATTATATTCCCTATTCACAAAGGAAGCTTTAATCTACATCATTGAATTTGGGATTAGACTGCAAACAATATTTTCCACAGACGGTCAGGGCAACTTGCCTGTCAATATTCTGAGCCTGTACTTGTATCCATGTCCAGCGCTATCATGTTCATTAAACTTGATGTTTGGGTTGGTTCAGACTAGCAATAGTAATGTCTTCAATTTAAAAAATGTCATGGATACAAAGCTGCTTTTTTCGGACTAGTTAAACGGTTAACCAGAAGAGTGCTTTCAACTGTGCTTTTATCTCCACATTAAGTCTCTGCTATAAAATCACGGCCGCGAAACTGGCTGGGTAGATGAATATTATAAATGGGAAGTACATTTCTACTTTCACCTATTTAGTAACGTTTTCAATAGGACAAATACAGTGGGGAATTTCACAGTACTACACTGGGATGGTAAATGCCAAGCTAGGAACATAGTCACAAGTCTACTCAGAAACATTGTTTCTTGCTGACTTACTGTCTTTGTGACCCTTGCGAGTTGGCCGCACGCATAAGTTCGCAAGCCAAAATGTGCTCGCTAATACTTTCAACACCTACAGGATTGGCGGCCCTGTCAAGTGGGCCGCCGACTTCTTCAGTCGACCACTAAATGCAACAACCCCTCTCCAGTCACTTCAGCTTTAGGGATACATCCATTCAGGACAAATACTTCAATTACCTGACCGTGAATGAACATTCTTCAGAATGACTTGCCATCGTCACATAAGCTAATCATACAATCAACAATTATCGCATCGGTCATACAACCCCACCCCTTACTCCAACGATCGAGTATTCTTCGTTTCGATTGGCGAATTGTACGTCTTTTTCCACATTTTCGCGATATATCAGTCCTCTGTCAACCATGCACCCAAATATATGCTTGGAAGGTTTTCTACAGCTCAATTATGTAAATCCGGAAATAAGTGCTACCTTAACAGATCTCCACCTCGTCCAAAGCGCCTGCTGACGTTTTATTCACCGTCTCTGAAAACCTAACGAGATCGACGATGTACACTCAAAGCGAGTGGTTCCGAGTTTTGGACGTCCTAGCTTTTGAAATCTGCCATTAGAGAAAGGCAACGGCTGCACAACTATCACAGAAGCATCGTTTCGAGAGTCTTATAGTAGAGGCTCCAAGACATAGGCTAACTAGCTGGAATAACTTGATCCATCATCTGAAGCAGCGATTTGATGAACCCTTTTAAGACTACAGCCCACAACATTTATGAATTTTTCAATAAGATGACAAATTCAAATCTGTTCTGGCTTATGGACTGACAAACATTCTGTTTGGAAAAGAAGACGCTGAAAGAGGTTAAAATATAGCCATCACCGGCCTCTTCTACACGTAGTTTAGCAGTGTGTTCCACTTAATCACTGGACGTGTGACTTATGCCACACACTACTAGGCCTCTAAAATCTCCTACATAAGGAAATTATCGGTGTAGGCTGAAACAGAGGCGTATACGCATTTTTAACGTAATATCATGTAATTGACATTGAGAGAGACAGATCAATGCAGAATTGACGAGGATATATCTCCGCAGTTGTCTTAGAAATGTATTACCACTTTAATTTTCCGATTTCTTTTTTTGACTACCAAGGCTACGTAGAATGGCCATTTAAAGTGACATTTTCACGAACAGGTCGATGAACCAAACGCAAGTTTCTTGACTGCAGTAGGCAAGGGAACTTTCAACTAATATTATTCGCACTGGTCGTTTAACCGAATTCCGTGGTTGTCGTATAATTCCTCTGCTGTGGCGCAAACTGAAAAAGACCACTTGGAAAGCCTCATGCATTCACACACATATATGAAACTAATGTTAGATTGAGGGACTGTTGGGTAATGGGGCTCGTTCTTCAACAACGTAGACTGCGTACATGTTCTTCACACGCATATACTTCCACCGCTGTGCCCCCAAAGCGGGCCATGTGTTAGACTACGCTGGACCAACACGGGGGTCACATCGGATTCTGGCAGGCGTTATCTGTGCGCAATAACAAATGCCAACATACAAGGGGTGCGCTGGCAGACCCTGTTGTCGGCAGTCGTCGCACAACTGGACCATTGTTTTGTGGTCAAAATCCTGGTCATTGTTGTGTGGACCAAGGGGTGCGGAGTGGAGCGCCAAGGTGAGGATCCGTCCGAGCCATCCACCTGCGGCCTCCCTCGTCTCCGGTCTTCTTGACTCTGTCTTGACACCGGGCTCAGGCGGGGGAGGAGGAGAGAGTGTAGGTAGATGCAGCGCAAGTCTACTGGCACTATAAACCCCTGCGCATGTCACCGTCCCTGTTTCCACCATTGCTGTGGGACACACGGTGGACATAGTCGAAATCAATGGTCGAACTAACATCACTTCCTCCGCTAACATGATCCGATGTTTCAGAAACAGCTAGTTAGAGCTTGTTCTACGCAGAATATCAAATAAATTATTCATAGCCATTTATTTCAGATACTTATGTAGAAGTAAGCTAACAATGTTTGTACTTCTATATTCTCAGCATCAAAAGTTTAATTCTTCAAGTGCAAAGATTGTATAAACAAGTTTCCTAGAGTCAGAAAATTCGAGTCCTTTCTCGTAAGCATTGAGCAAGCTGGACAATGCGAATTTTTCATTCATCGCATCGTATTTTTCCACATACCCCCTGGCTGTTAGGATCTGGATCGATTTCTGAGGCTTACTTCGGAGCCTGGAGCGGCAACATCAGTGATTTTGTGGGCATGGCGATCGACAAGGGTGCATGGGTGGGCAAAAGAGTGAGTAGTAGTATTTTAGAAAAGCTAAACGCAGTCAAGTGGAATGGCGGGGTCTTCTTTTACGTCACTATGGTCGGGCAGTGGGGGCATGCTTAGTTCCGTTCTTTGCAGGTAGTTTTTCCAGAGTACCATGACCACCTCAGAGGCGACCACGTGACCCGCATTGATGGCAATCATGCGAACCAGGAAGATTCCGTCACGCCGGAGGTAGATATCCACAAATTCGTCCAACAAGCAACTCAACCTGGATTCCTTTGGCGTCTGGAGCTTGTGAGCACGAAGGTAGCGCCGGACAAATCGCCTGCGGTGGAAGGGACTGACAATACGAAGTAACCAGAGCAGGATGCTTCCGCAGGTGACGGCTAGCAGGAAGCAGATCCAGAACCAGAGGAAGATGTAGAGTTTCTCGTTGAGCATATTGATTGGGAGAGCGCATTGGGCGGTGTAGGCGTTATCTCCACCCACCGTTCGGATACCGGGCACTCGACAGTAGGCGACCCGCGGGAAAAGTAGTGTGTGTGGCCACTCTCGACCGGTCCGAATGTAATTCAAGAGAGTCCATCCAAAGTTGTAGCCCTGAGGGTAGTCCGCTGAAAGGTTTATCGGTGCGCAGGAGGAATAAGGTTACTCTCTAAGTTTGAAAGTCTGAAAGGCAGCAAAAGATGGTATGGATTTCGCAGCTACGAATTCAAAGTGCAGGGGTCATGAAAGACTAAATCAGGAGGAGCCAACAGAGATACGTGGGCACTCAGACGATTGCCTTCCCTCCTTCCAAATAAAGTTCCCTCTTTCGCAGACTTGACTCTTATAATGTACCTAGGTGTCCAGCTGAATAGGGACGTGTCTAGAAGATAGAGGAAATCTGTTGGTGTAAATTGCTAAAAAAATTACCCATGAATGGAGGCGGATTTTTGAGTTGCAAGTGTATATATGAGTAAGGAAGAAGACCGTTTGATGGCCGAAACCATTTTTTATTTTTCTGAGCTTTCGAGCTCCAGACCTGCGTCACTGATGTTCGACTGGCTGTTGAGTGTTTTGTTGCCTCTTTCATCTCCGACAACGGACGCCTGCACGAGCTCGAGATCTTAAACGAATAAACAAATGGTTCCAGGGATCGAACAGCCTTCTTCTTCCCTACACATAAAGAATAAGTGCTTGTTTATTTGGAGCATCTGGTGAACGACGTGTTCGATAGATATTTTTCGCAGCACGAAAGAGTGGTTGACTGTGAGAATGAGGGACAACAGGCCACATTTCGATCATAGTTGGTAGCAAGCCCACATTCTAATCAATGCCCGTCTAAAAGCTCTAACCATCCAAGGTAGGATTCAAGGATCTGAATTTGAGATCATTGGCAAGTGTCCTGTGTGACTGGCGTTAAGTAATCTGACTTTCTTATAGAAGAGAATGCGGACGTTTTGGTTTGCCACGGGACTGCCGTTAGAGCACTACAGGCCGTCGCGTTACCAAGGGCGACTAATAATCGAGAAGTATTATCAAAAAAGAAGAGTTAGATACGAATAGCCATTTCGGGCTTTCACGATGTCCTACAACGACCCATGCTCTAACTGCAGCTTGGAAAAGCCTAAGCCCCGAGATTGGGGTTGGACGGGTCATTGAGTTTACTCTTCTGCCACGCAGGCTGGTGGTTCAAAGTCTGTTAACTACAACCCGGAATGTTGAAACTCGCGTGGAAATGGTGTTCAGGGAACTAATTCGATCATAGGAGGAAATACAGACATTTAGTTCTGCCTTACGCCACTAGTTTAGAGCCATGGAGACTTTAGGCGTTCAACTCAATGAGCATGCGGACCCAGCTCACTGTTGTTTGGGGTAAGGTTTGACTGATGATGGAAGATAAATTAGGAATGCACCGTGCTGTTACTTTCGATTGACAAATAGCCTAGTCTACTTAGTTTCCTAGCATCTGGTCCGCGTCACCATTTAGGGTGCGCATATCCCGAACTAATACTGAAGGCTGGGTCGATTTGCATTGATTTGTCGAATAGTATGGGATGCATCCAAATTAAATGTACTCACTGGAGGCGAATTTAAACGCCATTGCATTCCTAGGCTGTGAATTTCTTCTGGCCTGTACCCAGTTGTCGCGTTTTTCAGATCTTGTGTGAGACCGGATGGCCGATGAGAGCGACTGAGCCAAGAACTAAAGCCCCAGTCCTCTTAAGTCCTCTGAGCTTTCCCTTCACCGGTAGGACTTGAAGCCCATCGACGAAGAGCCACATGGACGGCTTATAGTGTTTGGTTGAGGCAAATAAACTAGGTCGGACTAACTGGTCCAAATTCCCCCGGCAATATGTTTGAAGATTGTGAAATCAAACGGAACTGTAGGTCAAAAGCTACTCTAATATTGAGATTTGTAATTTTATCTTCGGGGGGGGGGAAGAGATTCATAGGTTCTTACCAGTAGAAACATTGTCGCTGCCGCTGGACAAACAATTTTTTGACTTATTTTTGTTCACTGTTGCTTGCCAGATAGTAATTTTCCGCTTGAGTAAATGCATCGTCCAAAACATGACGAGTTGCCGAAGTACCGGCAATACATGATCAGTTTCTAACTTACCTGAGCTTTGGGGATCGTCACAATCTTCCAATACACTGAAAGCACGCTTTAACTCTCACAAATACGAGCTTATTCTAAACCTCATTCTGACTTTACTTGCTCCTGAGGAGCAGGTTCTACTGGTCGAAAAACTAGTTAAGTTCAGTTCACTTTTATTGAGGGAAATGTATGTCTTCGCCGTAGAACTCCCTATTTGTTTAAAAGCAAATGAAAAGTATCAAAAATTGGAAAAGGTATCATAAAGGTGGCAAATAATCGGAAAAGCGTCAAGTCTGTACAAGTAAACAAACTGTCTCGAGTGTTAGTGGTACGAGCAGTAGTAAAGTGGTCGTTTCCAGTGCAGGGAAATAAATAATACCCCCAGTGACAGAAGTTGCATAGGTGCATGCCAGTAAGCGTAGGCGATTGGTTGGGGACAATAAGAAATTCGATCTAAAATGTTACTGAAATGTAGCAAGTAGTACCATAACAACGGTTCTTGTTAAGGTTATAGAGGTCGGGTGGTAATTAAGTGGACACTGCTATACAAATCCAGTTTCCTTTCAAAGATCTCGACGGAAACAGTACAGCGACATCCGGAGGCCCACGGATGCGACAGCACCATCCTGCATGGCTAAATCAAGGCGTGGAAAAGCCTATCTCTATCGCAATTGTGGCTCACTTAGTTGACAGCGACCACGGGGTAGACGTCAACAGAGTGCCGGCGAGACATTCCAAATTCCTGCGTTAGCGGATACTTGCGTCGGCAGAGGCAGTGGCCATACAGTTAGTCAACCCAATCCTGTGCTCGAAAAAAGCGTTTGCACAATAGCTAAAGTTCTGCCGGGCAAAGATGAACCCAGCGTGTGTGCTCGCACCCCCTCCACATCACGTTACAGCGAAGAAACGGAGACATAGCCAATGGCCAGACACCTTCCCCATCCACCTCCCTAAGCCTATGACAGAACTAGACTGACCCCTGATCTCTGGACGCCCTCAACCCTCTCCCCATACATGCTTTTATTGGCTATTTAACTTTTGTTACTCTACCCTCCTTTATATTACTGTACAGACCGGAAAAATCAAAAGTGTAAGTTTGCTGTACTTGACTTCTTAAATGTTTACACGGGCATTACCGCTAAACATTGATGAAATAATTGAAAATATATCAGTTCCCATGATGAACATTCAGGAACAGATCATGAAGTCTATTTCTGAGAAGCCACCTTTATTATTCAAATGTAACTACTGGGAAGTTACGTTTAACAGCAGCACAACTCAATTTGACTGTACAGACGCGGTTGCCTGCCCATAACCTGTTTACCATCGAACTTTATAAACGGCTATAAGTCAGCAATCTGCTGTACGGTAAACTTCAATTCGAACTATATTGAATGCAGAATGGCATTAGCGACAAAGGCCAGGGAAACTGGAGCGCTAATTTCGGGCTTGCCGGCCGTCATTAGCCAGTCACATTCAACCCCGAGGTGTGCTACCCCCACCCCGAAGCTTAAACCCCCTACCGGTTGGTTAGAAGTCCAGCGCTCTAACCGTTAAACCATTGGCTCGATGTCCTCTCGGTTGAGATCGGGTATATTAACATTGATAGAGGGGTGCTTACCGATCGCATTACGGGACTCAGTCGCCCCGTTGTGCCTTAGGGCTCAATCTGCGCATATTATGAGCCGCTATGCGGCTCTAGTTTGAGCTTCGAGACGCAGCGAGACGAGCAGGTGTCGTAGCGCGACCTGTGAGCGCCCATCTATCATTGTCGACATTGGGTGCTTTCTGGAGCTTGTGAGGGGAAATGGTAGATTTAAATTGCAGAGCATCTTCTACCCTTTCGCTTAACAGGTCATCCTGCCTCCCACAAAACAGAGTTTCTTGCCCTAAATGTCTTAAAACTGGGGGGGTTAGCAAACATAATATGATGTTAACCAAAAGACTATAGCAACCGGATGCAAAACGAGGGGTAAAACGATAAACCACAGTGTGCACGTACAGAGTTCATATGTTGCAGCGGTTTCCTTCCCGGTCTTCCCTAGCTTCTCGACTGGTTGCGCATAGTTGCCAGTGAAGCCCAAGAAGCACTGAATGAGGTAGAGTTGAAGGGCCGAATTCGCTGCTATGAGCAGCTTTATCGCGAGATAGGAGATTACCAAACAGGTGCCCATGCGTTTGCTCACCACACAGAGGCCGCAATGATCGTACAGATTGTTCACAATCTGGGCCCTCCGCCCCTGTAGTGAAAAGAATGTAAAAACAGAATGTTCCAGTGTGGCTGTCATAGTAACTGAGGGGAGATGATCAAGAAGTGCATCTTATCTTTGCTATTTGTGCTGTTACCTTCTCCATGAGAGTTTTCTATATGACTGTAATGACTTTATTGGAAAGTTAGCCAGCGATAATGCACTTTCATTCCGAGCTATATAAAACGAATCTTACTGCGATCGAGAGCAGGGGAAATGCGTAAAGTTTAAAACGTTTGTTTGCCGGGAAAAAGAAAAGGACTTTGAAGTTAAAGTGATTTTACCGAATAGCAACGTTGTAAAACAATTATGTGAGGAAAATGTTTCACTAATTTTTGTTCATTCTTGCTCTGTTTCAGAATTTTTGTCATGGTTCACTGACCTCTTGTATGTGCTACACCTGTTTGCAGTTAAATGAGATTGTTTATTAGCCATTATAGGCAAAGACCACCTTTAAGGAAAGTGAAAAGGGCGGTTAAGAACACACTTGAATGGTAATGTTCGTTTTTGTAACCTTGGCGAATTACACCTCATGGTTGTCGAAAATGGGTCACCATGTGGCATCTGCTTTATTCATGGACAATTGTTTCCTCCGAAGCAGGAAACTGATGCCTGACTAACCGGAACTGACTTCTCATAGTCGTTTCTTTGTGCTCTTTACTGACGTCATTTATTGCCAGTTCAACAGCCGTGAAATTCGCCTTCTTGTCAGCAGCGGATTATAGCGCTTAGATCGTTTTTTGCGACGCATCTTCGCCGTCCCTGGACCGAAACATCGTTTATCCAGCTAAGATGAAAAGGCCGATCTATATGTAAAACCTGATATATTCTCTGTTTAAAATGGCAATTTCAAAAATTTTTTGATTTCATAGGCTATAAAATTTCCATCGCTCGAGTAGCTTGTTTTGCATAGTTTCCATGAGTACTAACAAGTTCAATTATCTCGCAGATAAGTTGCTTCCCGACAGGGACGGATTATCGAAGTTTCAGCTGCCTTGAAATGTGTTTCCATGCAAAAGATACTAGGCGAGTGAAGTTTCGATGCCTAAGAGTAATTTACCCATGGTGGCAAACTGGCTTCTGACTGCTCACCCTTTTAGGTAGGAAAGGTTCGCTGACTGAGTAGTGTCCAAAGTATACACAGATTTTTGATCTACCTTCCAGTTGGGCTCCACTTCTTAGAAAATATAAAAAAACGTTTATCTCTTGCTTTCAGCCGGACACCGGAATAGGGATCCACGTACTAACGGCGTAAAAACATAGCGGATGCGAATTTCCCTGTTCTAAATTGGACCTTAACCTCAACCCTAACCCTAAACCTAACACCTACCCTCATAACCCCAACCATCCTTATCCTAACTCTAAGCAAAGCCCTCCTGATTCTGACCCTGGCCCTAAATAGTCCTAAATTCAACCACCCTGTAGTCTGGAGTATGGCTATCTATAGAACGGGAGTCCATATCCCCGCCTCCTATCATTATATTTATTTTACAGAAGCTGACTTCCTTCCCAAATTTTATATTTTAAGGCATTAACTATTTTGGTTGTTATAAATTCGGAGATTTGCATAATTTGTTGAGATGCTCCTCTGATAATTCCTTCAAGCCTACTACCTTCAGATTCATTAGCAATCTCCACCAAATCTGCAAGTCTACACATATCTATTGTAATAACCCGCCAACATAAGGGAGCTTTACTGTAGGTGAATTTGGAGTTATGTGGTGCAGTTTTTCAGGAAATGCTTAACACTTAGCTTCAGACCCTCAGGAACGACGGTAAGCTCTGTGGGCACTTCGAAGTTTGTTGTATCATAAAATTGTAAGCTTAGTGAACCTGAAACTTTTCCGCCCCTTTGAATTGAAGAAGACGTAGAAACCTATAAAAGGCACACAAGTATAAGTTTTTACCGTGTTTTCTGCAGACAGCATGATTTTGTCTACAGGGGTGTAGGAGATCTGTCAAAGAACCAATTACAGTGGGTGACCGATCTCATAAATTGTTGGCCGAAAATCGGAAGGACGTTTTCGATCAGGAGGGATTACTTAGGTGCGATTGTAATACGAACTAGCTCGCGGCGTAACCCAATGATGTTTCGGACTTGACGGGATGTTGGCTTTTGAATGCACTTTTTTCGACCTGCTGAAATCTCACTCGGCAAAAATGACTATGTAAAAGGTATGCATCTTCTGCACTGGTTTTCGATGCCCTTATAAGTTCAAATATATTTCATGCAAACCTTGGAAGAATAGGCTTTCTTTTGCTCATTTGATAGTAAATCATGTCCTCCTTACATTTGCTACTAGAAGGAGGGCTATATATCGATTATAAAAAAAGTTCCTTGTTATTAGATTTTTTAAGACTCGGCAACGTCTATGTACACAACAGGCAGTAGACAGCATAGTTCGTATCAAATGCAAAATTTGCGAACTCTAAGTGGTATATCTTTAAATACACAGAACAATATACGATTTTCCTTACGTGGAAACTATACACCCTGCAGACTTAAATCACCAAACACTAGTGAAACGGCCGATCTGGCTCAAAATTATTCGGGAATTTGCCAACTTTTCAGAACATAAATATAACCCTCCTTCTAGTAACAACTTTAAAGAGGACACGATTTACTATCAAATGAGCAAAAGAAAGCCTATTCTTCCAAGGTTTGCATAAAATATATTTGAACTTATAAGGGCATCGAAAACCAGTGCAAAAGATGCATACCACTTATATAGTCACTTTTGCATAGTTAGATTTCAACAGGTCGAAAAAAGTGCATTCAAAAGCCAACATCATGGCAACTCTGAAACATCATGGGATTACTCCGCGAGCTAGTTCGCATTGCAATTGCACCTAAGTAATTTCTCCCGATCGAAAACGTCTTTCCGATTTTCGGCCAACATTTTATGAGATCGACCACTCACTGTACTGATGTAAATTGGTGACTGGCCTTTAGTTTATGTTCTCAAATAAAACTTGGCACTAAAATCCCTGACGTCGTTAGCGAAATCTAAATCTTTGAAATCCGTGCAAAAACCCTTCTGCTTGATAGCAATATGTATTAACCGAAGGAGTTGGGTTATTGTTCGCCGTGTCCTGTGCGTGTCCTTCGACTATTAAATGTTTACAAGTTTTCTTGTGAAATATTGGCTTTTTTAAAAACGGCTCTTGCTTCTAACAGCTAAATAGTTTAGTTGCAAGTGTTTCTGATCTCATTCGTGATATCTTCTTCATCACTGCTTTGACTGAACGCATCCCTACATTTGAATCGTCCCATCCTTCAAAGCAGAGATAAAGTTTCACCCTATTAGCGTTTTGGCTTCCACTCTGACTAACGCGCCAACTAAGGAAATACTCAATGGTCTTAACTTTCCACAAATGCCCAAATGTTTACCAAACCTTAACTTTGGACTACATGGTCACTCAGATGGCCCGCCTGTCGATGCAAATAACAGGGCCAAATCTGTCTAAGGGCAAACTCAGGCAGGCTTACCCTTATTTACTTATATGAATGTTATTATCATTTGGGAAGCTCAGTAACACCCAGGCATGTTTGGCGTACCCGTCGGCTGGTTTGGTGTTCTTCAATCATGTCCTCGAGGAATTCAGCTACGCCGTTGACCTTGGTCAGTCGAGTATTCCGGTCGTCCACTGCGGCCTTCGCAGCTGCTCCAATGAGTGTGAAGATATCGCCACCGGCCCGAGACGTGCAGACTGTCTGCCAAAGTATGTGAGGAAGGTAGAAGAGGATGCACTGGAGACCCAACATGAAGGGCACCCATTGGTAGTAGGCTGGTCGGCAAAGGGAAAATGGGAAAACGTCGGAAGTTAAGCAAGAACTTTATTAAATGTGTGAAGGCCAGCGCCTCTTTCAACCGTCTCTAATGATGGGCAACAGGAACGATGTATAGCTTTAGCCGACTGATAAACACAACGAGGCAATTTCATGTGGCGTAAGTTGTAGTGATCACCGGGTTCTAACAGAACAATGCACAAGTGTTACCGACAGACAAGTGGGAGACCGCAATGACCAGTTCTGTCTTATTTGCAGTCTTCACCTCAAAATATTCCCGTCTTAACATCTACAATTTTAACTCAGTTATGCATAGTCATTGCGTCTCCCAACCAAATGATTAATACATGGATGCGAAGCATGTCGGCTGCGACCGGAAAAAGTTTCGAATCCATACGTAGGCGACACTTCTCGACGTGGCTGGATAACGAACAGGTAAATATTATCTGATGGCGGCAAGAGAGGCGCGATAGTTATTATCGGTCCGCTATCTGACCGCCTGAAAGGATTCGAGACTAGAATTCTAAGACAAATGAATGTCTATGCGGGAAAACATGGGAAGCTACATACCCAAAGAACTCCTCCATTCAGTAAAACTTCCTCTTCGTGCGCATGTCGCGCAACTTACGCGGAGAGATGAAATACCTTTAAATATTTTAAAACTCAGATTTAGGATTGCCTTTCTTTGTAATCTTTTAAGAACGTCAACTTGTAGGCTATAGCACGAAACGCTTTGTGAGAACCCAATTGATAAGTAACAGCACGCTCCATGGTTTCCTCCTATCTGGCTGATAAAACGGGACAGCTTGGATAAATCCACAGACTCGCTTGACCACCACCTTGCGGTTTCTTTCAGTTCGGCTCCACTAAAGTGTCAGGAGGATGAGACTGAGAAAATGCACAAACGGGATTCCATAAAGTGTCCGGAGGTTCGTCTTAGGTGCCAGCCAACTATGCAGGCGTGCTTAACGGCGACAGGCTGGAGAACACTGATATGTTTGCAAGGAGAACCACCTTCAGACTTGAATTCAATTTCTCGAAATGCCGCACATGTTATGGGCTCGGGTCTTTGCTAACAATGAATTGACGATAGTCGGAGACAAGCAAAAAAACAAAACCGACAGGACAACTGGCCCCTGACTCAGTGATAGGGCGCTGAGCTATACGCTCAATAATCAAAGAACCCTGGTTTTGAACCTCAGGTTGTCCTAGCACAAGACCGGCTAGGACTGGCTTACAACGACTAATGGGCCAGAAATGGCCATTCCAGTCTCCTTTGACATTGTTGGTATTCCTGATCCCTATGCAACTGCCCTAAGTTGGGCTCTAATTTCGAGCCCAAGGTGCAAGGGAGTGAACATATCCTGTTACCCCATTGGTGAACTTCGTTTCACCACAAATGTCGCTATGCAGCTAGTCCGCCCCAAAAGAAGACCGGATGACGAAGATGCGTGTCGTATTCTAGTATTGCCGCAGTTTTATGATCCGTGTGCAAATCCGGGGTGTACACTACGCGTTCTACAGGTAGGGATACTCTGAAACAATAAACCTAGACACTGACCGCTCCGGGAGATAGAGACTTTCCAAGGAAGTGACTCGTCCAAAACACCATCTAATACATTCAGCAGTATGACAACAGTTTCCAAATCGCGGCAAAATTTTAGGGTTTCACGTTTATCCCTTGCGCTCGGATCAGTGACTTGTGTCCTTGGGGAGTGGAAACTTCCTAAATACGACGAAGCCCCCCACGAATGAGTTTCGCCAGTCTACAATTTTTTGCCCTGGGTCGATAGTTTGCTTCTTCTCCCCGTTCCCTCGGTGATGGAGTATCTGACTACATGACCAACTGGTCCCGTTTGCGGGGTTGTTACCTTCTCGGTCTGGGATTTGTGTTTGGCGGACTGGCTGACGAAATCAAATAAGACACAAATGGTCCTCCTAACATCTTAATTTTATCAGTACCGTTTCCTAAAGACAGGAGGGGAAGTTTTCCCAGTTGGCCAGTCGAGTAACTAGTTATTAAACTTCTAGATGTAAAGTGCGAATTCGCAAAGCCTTGAGACTGATGTTTAAGAAATCAACGGTATGCTTATTCTTTTGCCGAATTTTGCAGGTAGTCTGCGTTTTCCATTAGAATCAGCCAACCCAAGCTTTATCAACAACCGCTGTTCTTCAGAATAATTCATCCCTGGGCTCTCCTACCTGAGGTACGGGGCCTTTCACGCTAAAAGTAATCAGAATGAAGCAGTCGACTTTTCCTCAGATTGTTTCTTCACAGCTTTACGCAGTGCGCAGGTCACGATTACCTTCTCATGTAGAGATTACCGTTCCCATTCAAACTTGAGGAACAAGAAAATTTTTACAAAAAGGCAAACTACGTAGATATCAGGAGGTATTGAAACATTTCCCCGCTGCCCCTAAGACGGTCCACGGGGTAGACGCGCTGGACCAACACGTGGCTTCATCGGATTCCGGCAAACGTTATCGGGAGTATGCATCCGACATTCGGAATGCGCTGGCAGGCTCAGTCGCAGGCTCACGCCGTGTTAGTTGGGATTCGTGCCGCCTCCCTTTTTTGTTGTTTTTGAAAATCTTGGTCAAGCGTTCGTTGTGGATCAGGGGATGTGTTGGTGCGCCTAGGTGCGGATTTTCGCCGCGCCAGTCACTTGCTCAATCTTCCGCCTCCGATCCTCTTGACTTGATCATGAGACCGGGCCCAGGCGGGTGGGGAGAGAGTGCGGTAGATGCTACGAGCGTCTACTTCCACGCACGAGTCACCGTCGCCGCCCCCCACACCCACTATGAAGCACACGGTGGACATAGCCTAAATCGAAGGTCGAACTGCCGGTTGCCATCGTGCAGCGTGTTGCATACCGAGGGGAAGGAACCATGAAATTGAATAAGTTTGCACGCTTTATTTAAAAGACAACCCGGTTGTAAATTAATAACACGGACTAAAATCAACGAATCAGTTCTGATAGCGCTCGGTCTAAGGGGATCTGAATAACCACGCTAAGATCAGATTCACGTAACGATCTTTTTGCCCACATGTCTGGCCTGTACTTCAAAGTAAAGCTGCATTCAATTTGCTCAGTATCTGAACTCCTCAACCAAAAATAAAGATTCAGAGGGCCGGTGTTAAATCCACAGTACGGCTGCCAACTGAGGGCTTCGCATTGGAAAGAAGGAATATTCTGCCTTTGGATTTTATGAGCCATGTAGTTTGCACACCCATTTTTTGTGAAATGAGCACGCTTGTGCACTTAATCCGACTCGAAACATCCGTCGATTATAGCGAAGCATGCCGTCCTCAAGATAGGCCTTTTTCCCAAAAGCAAGTACCGAAAAGCGCTACTTTATCTGACTGCGTACCGATCGAGCTCCCCTATTCTATGTGTTCATGTTCAGGGGGTTTAGTCGTCAGGACTTAGAAGTCTCGATATTCAGGACGGCGAAATGTGCGCGGGAAAAATTCGAAGTTGTTAAAGCAACCACTCCAACTCTTAGAAGCTGTTGCACCCGGGAGCATAGAAACTGGAGTTTGTATACCAGGCAGTATATGGGGAGCGCTGTAATGCCTACTGATGGGCTGAGCCCCTTACAACCACGTCATGCGACGGCACAAGATCGGCGAGACACGCGTGTCTGAGTTTTTAGCTGGTACCTGTGTTGCATGTATGAAAAGTCATTAACACACTGCCAATAGAAGCGAAGAGCCGAGTCCCAGGAAGTAGTCTTGAAGAAGGAGACACGATCGCCGGGACAAGAGCTTTATTAGCCCGACGTTTCGGATTCCTACTCGAATCCATCATCAGAGACAAAAGAGCAGAAACGGGTGGTTGTTGCACAAGGGGCTGCGGTATTTATAGGATGCAGCAGCCATGCTACCGCATACCTATGAACGTTCACGGCTTCCCCCTTCATTCGGGATTGTCACACTTGGTGTGATCATTGCTTGATGGCCGACATTCGAGTCGATAATTGCTGCAATTTCATCACGTGCGTTGGATGTTGGCGTGATGATTGCTCGACTATCTGACGCGTTGACCCGGGTGTTGGGAAGAGTGTTCACCAGTGCGCTCCCCGCGTGGCCAATTACTCCGCCTAGGCGAAGTCTCAGCACCGAGTATGGAAGGGGAAGTTCATTGCATTTGTTGATGGACTGGGGGCCAGTAAATCATGATTCCAGTAGCTCCCGGCTCACTCGGTTGTCACCTCTTGCGAGAATTTCGGCCTCATCGAATTTAAATGTGTGCCCGGATCTCGTCGAATGAGCCGCAACTTGAGAGCTGGCGTCATTTCTGCGCACCGCTGCCGCGTGTTCGGCCATTCTCGTTCGGATGTAGCATGGCTGCTGCATCCTATAAATACCGCAGCCCCTTGTGCAACAACCACCCGTTTCTGCTCTTTTGTCTCTGATGATGGATTCGAGTAGGAATCCGAAACGTCGGGCTAATAAAGCTCTTGTTCCGGCGATCGTGTCTCCTTCTTCAACATTAACACACTGTAAGTGCCCTCGGAAGGCCTGACAAAGTTGCAGACTCGAGTGCGCGAACACCAGCGGGAGTTTGGACGGAGGGTTTGAAATGTCTGGGTTGTTTCGTACACGAAACTGACAAGCCACATGTTCCCATTTCTGTGCGAGTAACGTTCACAGATCTGAGCTAAATTCAATGAGGAATGCAGGGTGAAATGCTTCCGATGCAGACAACAGTGTGAGCCAGTAATTCAGATGCCACGAAGTTCAGCTCTTTGGTCGTATATTTTCAGGATCAAATCGCAGCTCAATCCTGCATGAATTGCGATTCATTTGACTGGCGAGTAATTGGCCATCTCAATATCTAGCTGGTAACACTTACTTTGACCACGTGCGATCATAATAGAGGAAAAGTCCTTGACCTCGATGCCTTTTGCTTCGGACGGTTCACTCCTCCGGGACAATTTTTCGCATGCATAATTAATCGCTGATATTTTGATCCCGGGGGACTTTTAGTGCTTCAGACACCATTTAGACATAATGTGTCTCACGTAAGAAGACAATTACAGCGGCCAGTACAAGACAACCTGGTAAACTGGAAGGACCGAGTTGAGAATAGGAGGGACCGAGTAGTCCAGTAAAATCAGCAACGTTAGCACGGGAAAAGCATACAGACACACGGCCTCGCTGCCCAAAAGGTGGGTAGAAGGAAAATCCGAAACGGAGCAGGTTGGCCAATCAAAAATAACCTCTAAAAGCTCGAACAGTCCAAGTGGTAATATTATCAGACAAGTGAACTATCAGGAAGGCAAGAGGAGCATGACACTGAAGACTCTCAAACGGCAGTAACGCGAAGTTGTTCACATCTTTAGAAATTTAAGTCTCACGGGTAACAGTTTAAAACACGCCCGATAAGGCGCCAAGTAAAGGCAGAATTGTTCAGATAGTCTGAGAGATTTTGTTCATCAGACATCCTTGACTAACACACCTGCCTTTTGTTTTCAGAAGGCAGGTTACTTATAAGGCATAATCGTTTAGCGAACCAACATCTCACAGTCAAGCCTGCATTTAAATGTTTTTATTTCTCCCAATGAACAGAGCAACGTTGTGTACGCCAAACTCTCATCATCTACGGAGTCTGGCAAATCTGACGAGGGCTCTCAAGTACTCATGGTTATATGAATACGAGCAATTCCCCATATTTTGTATCCAGTTTTAAGGGGCACTGCTTACTAGGGTGTGCCTTCTTGTCCGTAGGTTATGGCGCCAGACAGAACTACATAGCCACACCTCATAGCAGGGACTCCAGAATATATGTTTTGTTCTGCAGTGTGAATGTGTATTTAAGCTTAGCAATGACTCACTTATTCGTCTGCTTTGGTCGTATCGATTCCACTCAGCCTCCGTTGTTGGAAGGGCCTCATTTGGACGGAAGGGAATGGTTCCATGAACCCAACAAAAGTCTGAAACAAAGTCCTTGAAGGCCCCACCCGAGGGTTCCACAGGTGTATAACAAGAGATAGAGTTAAATACGTATTGCTTCGTGGAAATAAAGAGGCACGAAATGAGGAAAATGATCACCGTGAAGAGATTTAGTCGATCCGCAAAGTCCTCGAGCGAGAGGTACGCAGACGTTCGGAACTTCTGGAAAAGGTCGAGGAACTCTTGGCCAACCATGCTGCCACCACGATGATTACATGTAGCAGTCGAGGTGGCTACGACTGTGAGCTGGCGTCATCACGCCAAAGAGTTCTCTTTCTCAGTCGCCCACTACCCCTTTCTTAATAAGTATGGGCGAAAGTGTTCGAGCGTGTCTGTGTGTGTGTGCGTGTGTATGTGTGTGCGGAGACAGAGCCTAAAGTTGCGCTCTGAAGGCGAAGCCGACGTAGAATGGCGGCTGCGCATAGGACCCGCGGTGCCCTTTAACCAACACACTCACACACAAATGCTTCAGGTCATGCCTGATCTAGTGTGCTCCGTGGCGCAGCCGTCACACCAATTGCCACAACGCCACCTCTGACGAGCGTGCGTGCTAGCGCGCGCTTGTTCACGTGGTGCAGGCGTGCTGCCGCACGTACGTGAGTGTGTGCGTCTGGTCGCTTACGTGAAGTGAGTAGGTGCACCAAAGTCAGCGTGAAGTGAGCACGCACACTCGAGGGTGGCCACATTCTTTCCGACGCCTTTAAATTCAGGGTCAGGGCAAAGTTTGCTGGGCGCTGATTCATATGCGGGCTCATTTTCTATTCCAGGCTGGCCCCGGCCTACAATTTGGTGAACCTTGTAGGACGGACGCCGCCTAAGTCGCAGTCTAGAAGGACGCCGGGGAGTGCTTCTGTCTAAAAGATATGCGCATTCGAATGCTCAAAGACAGGTCCGGTGAGAGGAGGACAAAAGAGGGTGTGATAAGCCTAGATCAGACAGCCACCCTGTCTGTGTTCATTTTTAGTCCGGTTGATTTAGGTTTCGAAAGTGTAACCAAATCGTGACTTTTATGAGAGAAGTAATGACGGTATTTTGCGACTCATGTTTTCGAGATTTGCCGACAGACGGCAACTTCGAATACCGTCCATCCTATTGGGACTTCTCTGGCAATTCCCAGTGTCTTAAGTCTTGTTTTGTGGAAAATGGGGACCAGTATCTTGTTTCGGCATGCATAGATATGAACCGGTTGCCTCACTATATACAGAGGCCAATCCCATTCTAGGGAATTTTGACTCGATCCTGCCGGTGCATCTCAACTGGGAACGGAATAAAAAAGGAGGCCGACACTGGTGCTTTATTTTACAATTTGATCCACTTAACGAGAATGGTCGTCCGCGTAGATTTCTGGACAAACTGACTTAGTGTGTTCTCCGGCCTTGTTACCGGCAAGAAGTTAAAAAATAAATTACTCATTCCATTAAACTCCCTTAAATTTTCAAACCTGGTAATTTGCGCCCCAGCCAAAACAAAATAATGTCCTTAAATTGTATCACATCTTCGGTTCCAATAAAAAGTGAGGATAGTAAAAAGTCTAAAATTCGGCATCGATATTTGCATGCTGGTCGTGGAGCGTTAACAGACTTTTATGATACTGAAAGCCCATACCACTCCCCGATATCCCAGGCACTCGCTGTCTGTGGTAGACATAACCTGAATGGAATTCTTATGCTGCCCTCTTTTGTTTCTTCGACAGTTCAAATCAAACGAGGCTCAAAGATAAGACAGATTGGTGGATTCCGGAGAAGTGGTCCGATGGAGAGTACATGTCGGTCACCGTATTCCGCGGCGCGAACAGCGTTGAATCCGGAGGTAAACCTTCTTCAGGGAAACGCTATGCCCTGAATTATACAGCGCAAAGCACTAGAGTAACTCTGGGGACCTACTGACTGGCCAAATACCTCGCGGCTTTGCTATGAGGCGCCAGAATACCGACAAAGCACACGTCTGGGTTTTTACCTTCTACGTATGCTGTCAGTTTTGTAAAGAATGCAACTCCACATCTGTCGCACGGGGGAATTGTTCGTACGTGCACCAAAAGGCGCGCTTTGGTAGCCAGGAGAAGCCGACGAAAATACCAGTGGGGCGGCACGGAGACGTCGGGGAAATTAACAAAAAAAGGATCAGTCATGTTGTTTCATTCTTCAACAGAAGTTAGTCAGACTTTCTCACTTCTCGCTAATCAAATGCTTTTTTACGAGAACCCCGGTCACTTACTTAGTATGGCAGAGAAAGGAAAATTCCTCGAAGGAATTGGAAATTGCCAGTTGCCGTCAAATGGCGACTTCACTGAAAAATGTGCCCTCCTATGTAACCAAGCTACCCCTCAGTGGAAAGTTAATGGTTCCTGACGGCAACCACTTGGTTCCTTGTACTCGTTAGCTGGCACTGACTGATGGATGATGTGGGCATTTTCCATGTAGATAGTCGGTTCAGTGTATTTAAGTTTTGATGCCTAATCGCCGCTGAACGAATGATTCTGATTTTTCCCTGAGAGTCGTTTATATGGACGAGTGCTCATCGAAGACAAAAGATCCTCCTGTCGTCTGGGCAGTATGGACGAAGGAATGCTCATCCCTGAAAGCCCCCCTTGACTTTAGGAAGAATATGAGGTCATAGCATATTAGGGGAGCGCCAGAATTCCGCAAAGCTGCATTTCTCACGGCGAAGAAATATGGCGATTTATAAGCTGATGGCGTCTTGAGTCTACAGGTATGCTGCCTCAGTATGAATCAAGACGTTTGTGGCCATTTAACCAGATGTGGTCTTTGGTAAGTCACGGGAATGGGGGCCCCTCTCCCCCTTAATACTGGTGTTGTTTCTAAAATCCGCGAAAGTCACCTTTGCTGTGTCTTAACTTTAAGTCTAACCCTCCTAACCCAGACCCTAACGTTAATTCTAACCCTCACTTACATTTAGGACGAGGCCACTGACAATAGGGAGGGTCTTACCTTGCGTGCCCAACCCCCTTAACCCTAACCTTAACTCTGGCGTCCGGAGTCGTTTAGTGGATCTGGCGCAATTGCAGGCAAAGCAACTACGTCGGACACACTGAGAGATTACTGGGGACGCGAAGGACCGAACAGTTAGCAGCACGAAGGGGGAATGACGCTTGCCTTCCTGGTAGTGGCTTACTCGACGGTACTGGCGACACCTTTAAGTTTGCTGAGGTCGACATTCTCGCAAGAGGTGTCGGCCGCGAGTTGCTCGAGTCATGGTTCTCCTGTCCGAGGTCTGTTAACAAGCGCAATGACTTCGCGCCTCCATATTATCTGCTGAGACTTTCCATGTACAAAATAACTAGCTACGTGCGGAAGGGCGCGTGTGACCAACAGCCCGGGCAGCAGCGAAACAAACTTCCGTGTAATCATCACGCCAAGAATCAACAATGGTGATGAAATCACTGTCATTAATGTCTAGGGGGCAGACTAACACGCAAGCGTCGTATCAGATACGAACCTCAGCGATGGGCGCAGATATTGACAATTATTGTGGGGCATGTGGTTGTAACGCAACTGTATCCTGTAAAAACTGTACTTCGTGTGTCTCTGCCACACTTATCTACGACTGTCTGCGTTCGAGTGCGAATTCGGGACGTCAGACCAGTAAAGTTCTTATCACAGCGATCACTTCTTCTTCTTCTTCTTCTCAATCCCAACTCAGTTCTCCATGAGATTTGCCGCAAAGCTGCCCCCGCTAGGGGAGCGTTTTCTATCCCTGCGTCCTACCAGATATTTTGCAAAATCAATTTCGCTCAGTAAGCGTAAGGCGCCTGTTATGCTTGAAAGGGAGTTGAAGGGAATGGATCTATTTGCCCGGGGCTTATCTGGAAGATTCCAAATTGGAAGCATATTCTACGCAGTTCTATGCCCTTTTCGTGCGTCAAATTGCCTCTCTGCTCTGAGTGTCCGGTCAAAACGCAATGTCAAAATATTAAACGGAGTGAAGGCGAAATTTCGAGTTCCAGGTGTATGCCTAAGTGAAGAAGAAGATTTGAGCACCGGAACATTTTGTTTATTGTCCTGCGCTTCCAGACTCGTACAGGAGTCCATCGCATTCCGTGTCGAAATTGCCCTTGTAACTACACAGGACAGACTGGACGCATGCTCGGATCGCGCATACACGAACAGTAGCTGGCTGTGCGACGAGCCGATGCATTATCACAAGTGGCCGCCCACACCTACGAAATGGGTCACGAGTTTAACTTCGCAGTCACCAAAATAATCGCCCACGCTGGAAACAAAACAGGCCGAGAATTGATTGAAGTCTGGGCCTCGGATGCGAACTCGGTCAATCGATTTATCGATCTGGCGCCGGCATACAGAGCCCTGCGTAGTCAACTCCAGTCGTGCGCCGTCGGCCTACATGCCTTATAACTGCGCTTGTTCTCTTGTTGCCACTACCTCTGACGATGGACTCCTGTACGAGTCTGAAAGCTCAGGACAATAAACAAAGTGGTCCGGTGCTCGAATCCTCTTCTTCACTTATTAAACTGAGTGCAAGCAGAGAGTTGCTCTGTGGGTGCTGGGCAGGTGGAGGCCTCGAAGTTTATCTCTTCTCATCCAGACTCCTCAGAACTGGTGGAAATGTAGAATACTGACATTCATGAGCTCCTGGTGGATTTGCCATTGCCGTCACATAGTCCAGTCAAGAGATATCAATCTCTCCACAAGGCAGGGACAGATTTCGAGTAAATCGAGTCGATACCAAGTCGATACCCGTCATGTCTGCTCGACTGTGTCCATCATCCTCTCCTTTAGACCTAGTGACGAGTCGAATCCAACTAGCCTTATGCACTGCGGGCATCCGATCAACAATATACCCAAGCCGCTCCCTTATGGACCAGTCACCGACTCCACGGGACTCACTCATGCGCACTCACAGATAGCCAGCGCACCCAGGTCACGCCGGCAGCGATCCGATCCTTGCTCACAAAGATGCACGCGGACACACACACATTTAAAATCTCACACCTGTTTATACCGTCTTCTCCCCCCTCCCTCCGAAAATGCATTTCGTTGCGAAAATGTGACCTATATATTTTTTAAAAATGCAACTCTCCTAGTCTTCAGTCGATCCTCCGCAAAAGGAGGGAGGCGAAGACAGTTATGTGGGGGTGCGGGAGAGAGAAGGAAAACTCTAGCACGTGCCCATTCATCGCATGCACTTTAAGAAGTCCTTTGAAAGAACCGCACTGG